TTTAAAATTCGCCGAAATTAGTGGCTAAAACGCCTCGTTAAGTGCTATTTTCTGGTTTAAACTGATGTAAACTGGTGCAAATCGTTGCAAGAAACGAATGATGACTCAGAGTGTCCAAAACGATAGTTACAGACGCGTTACACTAGAAAGAAGCACTTAACGAGGCGTTTTAGCCACTAATTTCGGCGAATTTAAAAAAATCATTAACAAGAGATTAAGAGCTTAAATTTGGAGATTATATTAAGAATAGTGCTGTTGAGGAATGCATTTATTTTCATTATAATATTTCAAAATTTAAAGCCCTTTGATTTTTTTCTCGGAAACTGGAAGGAATTAAAATTTTAAAATATATGCATATTTTAGATATTATTGCCTAATATATTTTGCCAAAATTTTAATTTTTTAAAAAAATTACTTTTTGAGATATCCTTGTCTGAAAATTATAAGGGGGTGCTGTAATCACCTTAAGAAAAATAGGTCGCAATTTGAAGACGCCTTTTATAAACCTATCAATAGTTAAACAAAAGGAACCAAAAATAGCTAACGGTCGTTTACACGTAGCTTAGATCAGCAAAGAAAACTTGTAATTGTTTTATTTCAAAAATGCAAATCGAATTCGACTTTACGCCATCTTCAGTGCTTATTGTCCATCAAACAGTTTAATGTCCTCTCATTTAATGTTGGAGTGTCCCATCTTACTAAATAGTCATTATTATTTTTTTACAGTAATTTTGTTTAATAAACTTCGTTTATTTAAATTTTCGGATGAATTAATATACCTATAATCACACTTTCTGATTTAATTATAAAGTACAAATTTGCATCATCGGTCCAAAGGCAAATTGCATGCTTCTAATATTAACCAAAACCGCATACAGTTGATGGAGAATGTCACAAACTACTGAACCTGGCACGTCCTAACATGTAAGACAAAGTTTCAGTGATAATTTCACACACCAGTTGCATTTGTTACACCGAAGGAGTTCCAACGGAAGTTGTATAGGATGCTGCTATTGCTGTTATTAATGCCGCGACTGTTCAGACAAGGAAAGTTCGGTATATTATGGCTGACGTTTAACCTAAATACTTGTTAGATATATTTAGTGAGCTATATTTTAAATTTTATGTTCTTAATATGGATAATATGTCACTTAATCCATGTAGATTTGAGAATAAGCTTTAAGTAGTAAAAATTCACTTCTCCGCGTAATAATAATGTGAAGCCCATTTTTTGTTTCTTGTAAATGTTATATTTCGCTTATTTTCTGTTATTTCTGACTTTTTTTTAGACTCTGTTCCATATCAACAGGTTTTAAATTTTTCTTGTTTCAAATACATGTTTAGTACGTTCCCGCAAGTAGGAACAGTTGATATCCTAACCAGTAGGCAGAAAACAATAGACTGTATGTCTTTCAGAATTGTTCTATTAAGTAATAGTTAAAAAAAAACTTAAAAAAAAATAAGACGGTTAAGAAAAAACGATTAAGACCAAATCACTTAAGCAAACTACATCTAGGGGTGATGTGAGGCTATCCTTAATTCCGGTATCCAAGGGATGATCCAGAATTCTTCCTACCACGGGTTTTTAAATCTAATTTAACATATGAGAACGTTTTGTACCAAAAATGTAGTTTTACCGGTTCTCGATACCCTTTATTTCGCACTGACCTTTTCAAAGGTCTTCACAATGTACGAATCTACAATCGTGACTGAGTCTCAAAATCCGCGTAAATATATTTCAATCTACTAATAGGCAACTCAAATTACACGTGACTCGATGAATTGTTTAATAAATTACCCCTCGAAATGACATAAAATTTTTAAGTGATTAGGATTCAACATGTTTTAATGTCTCAATCCACAGTTGGTGTTGGGTTTTGTAGATTTTGAATTTTCGTCTTAATGCTAATTATTTAAATTTTGTGTATGATATAAAACCTATTCTTCTTGCATCAAATACTTAACAAGACAAACATGTTCTATCCAGAGTATTCCGGCATTCAGAGTCACTCCGAGATAAACCATCATGCTTTTCATCACCAGGGACGTCTCGCCGATCTTAAGTATCAGGTCTCGTACTCGTTTGTTTGGTATAAACATGGTTTTTGTCTTGTTTTTATCTTAGTTTGTTTGTATTGGCCTAGTTTTCGCATGCTTTCCAGATTGTTGTCCATTTGTTTTCTATTTTGTGTAATGAGATGCCTGACAGTATTACAATTTTATCGTTAATAAAAGCTTAGACCAAGTCGTTGTCGTCTAGTGTATCTGCGTTGTCAAGTGCGTCGAACAATGTATTTATTAGTAATAGCCGTAAGATGGGCCCAAGGCTCGAGCCTTGTGGGCATCCTCTTTCTGTGGCGGTCCTGATTGTGACCGTTGGTATTTATCTGTCAGTCAGGAAGTCGTTGCAGAGATTCGCTATGTTTGTAGGTACGTTGGCGTCTTTCAGTCTTTTTTGTATCATTGGTAACCATGCAGAGTTAAACGCGTTTTTTATGTCAAGTGCTATGATTGCCGAATGTAGTTTGTCTTTTTTGTTGTTTTTAATTTTCTATATTACTGTGCTGATGGCGTCTATTGTCGATGTTCCCTGTCCCTCTCTGAATCCATATTATCTTTTGTCTAATTGTTTGCGTCGTTTCAATGTAGTATGTTAGTCTTAGTTTATCCAGTACTTATCCTAATGTTGGAAATAGGCAAATAGGTCTCTTCTCTCCCTTTTTTTTTTGTAGCCACACCATATCGGCAGTCTACCAGGTTTTTGGGAAAGTCCCTTCGTCGAGGCAAATGTTGTATAGTTTTGTCAGTATGTTTGGGCTGTGTTCGAACAGAATTTTGATGAATTCCTTGGGTATGTTGTCAGTCGAGGTAGCTTTTTTGTTTTTCATTGTCGATATGGTGCAGCCGATTTCTTGTTACGTGAAATTGTAGTCATTTCTTGTGGGTATGTCTGGGTTGTAGTTCCGTGTGTGTCCTTATGAAAGTCTTCGTCTGTATGTCGGTCATGTGCGGAGAAGTATTTCTGGTGTAGTGCGCGTATTGTCTTTTTGGTATTGTTGGTTCACGTTCCGTCTTCTGTCTGTATTGAGTGGTCTTATGTGGTTTTTGTTCTGAGGATTTTGTAAGCAATATTCCATGGATTGTCCGAATCGTTGTTTGTCAGAAAGTCGCGTATAGAGTCTCGTTTTGATTTTTTAATTAGGTCCTTGTATTTGCGTCTTTGTCTTTTGTACGCGTCCATTTTTATTTGTCTCTCAACTGAGTCCCTTTCGAGCTGGTCTTTTTTTCTTGTCATGTTAGTTGTTCCTTTCTCTGTTTATGTCCATCAGATTTGTGTTTTATTTTTATTTGTTTTCTGTTTCCTAAGCTTTTTATCTATTATGTCTGTGAAGTGAAGTGCTGTTTTGTCCAAGTCTTCCGTCATGTTCTACTCATGTTGGCGTCGAGTTGTATTGTTTTTTTTTTTAGTCTTGTGTCTTCTTTTCTCATGTGTCCAATGTTATAGTTAATGTAGGCGTGGTCACTGAGTGTTTCTTCATCTGTTACTGTCCATTGTTGTATGTGAAGTTAATTTGTTATTGTGAGGTCGATCTAGCTTTTGCCCCTGGTGTTTCTAAAAGTGGGTGGGCTGTCGTGGTCGTTTTTAATTTTAAGGTCCAGTTGAGTTGTCCAGTTGAGTTATCCAGTCTACGGTGTCCTGTCCTCGTCTGTCCATCTCGTTTTCTCCGCAGGCGGAGTTTTTGCGTTGAGGTCTCCTGCTAGTAGTAGCGGTTGTTTAGTTTTTTGATTCTGTTTAGTCTACTGTTAGTGTTTCCGCCTGTTTCGTCATATATGTTGGTGATTGTATAGGTTACGTTTTGATTTTGGACGTTGATTGTGAATATGTTTTCGGTTGCTAGTTTTAGTTATTATGGCCACTTAGCTGTTCTGGAACTTTTAATCAGAACGTGCTGATGTGTTGTGATAAGGTTCTCGTAATAGTATTATGTCAATGGTTTCTTTAATATAGTTTTAATTATTTCTGATGGGCCTTATATAATAATATTATCTTTGAACGGATTTCGGCAGGTCCCACCGCCCACCCGTATCATCTTTTTCTCCCAGTTTTGTTCAAAAGGTGTCTAATTCGTTTATGGCCTGGAGTAATTCTCTCTCGTTCATGCCCTTTTGGACTCCTGTAATCAACGCCATTGAGGAAAAGGTCCTGCTCCCATCTTTGGCTAAGACGGTATTGATGGTTTCGATTTTTTTAATGTTTTGGACTGTTGTCCATCCAAATCCTGTGCCTTGAATTATTTTTTTTAGTTCTACTATTGGGTCGCACTGGATCCCTTCGTTTGCTTTGATTATCGTATCATAGCTTTCTGCCATTTTTTGTGCCATAGGTGATTTTCACTCCACTGGTAGTTCTCTTGGTCTAATTGGTTCTTTTGGTCTAATTGGTTCTTTTGTTAATTGTGCATAGGTTTTTGTTGCCTGTGTTGATATGTTTTCCGAGTACATTTGTTCTATTGTGCCATTATTCATGTTGGTGCTTGTGTTTGTTGGCAAACATAAGCTGCCCTGTGTTGGTTCTTTTATATGTCAATTATTTTAAGTATTAGGTCTTCTTTAAGTTTTTCTAGTATATTTTTTGAAGGTCTTTGTTTATTAGTTTGTCCTGAAGGCTAGTTATTCTGTTTTTCTGAGTGTACAGTAAGCCGAGGAGGAGATGCATATTATTATTTATTTCATTTATGCTAACATGTATCGTCTTTTGTGCCTGTTTATTGAAGGAAAGTTTTTTTGTCTGCCGGGATGCGGATTGACGAAGTCATGATGTCCTTTCTGAACTTTGTTTATGATATCTGAAATTTCGTTTTGCTTTTTGCCTTTGGTGCTTTTTCCTCTTTTGTTTCTGAGGGTTCGGGTTTGTGCCACTTTCTGACCATGTTCGCACGCGCTTGTCTTTCGATAATGACATATCAGTACAAATCTCAATTCATCCAAGAAGAAATCCTATGGGATTTAATACTTCAACAGAAACCTCATCACCTTTACCAAACAACAACAGCGCCAGTGTCATAAGTAGACATCTTCCAATTCTGAAAGATGATCTGAAAAACTCAGTAAGATGCAAATATCCAGAATATAACAAGAACACAAAGTTTTTGTGCAAAAAATTTATTACCATAACTTTTTTTTATTTATAAAAAGTCAAAATCCGAGTGTCCAATAAAATGGACTTTTTAAAATACGACAAAAATAAAAATAAATTTTTATTTTGACTGAATATATTTGTTTTAGTACTAATTTCTAGTAAAAACATACAATAAATATTTTCATTTTATTTATTTTTTAGTTCGGGTCTCAGGAGGATAATGAGGATATATTGAGCTTACTGTTCGCCTTTTTTATATTAAAAATACAAGTTATCATCCTTTTCTTCCTCAAGTAATACTTTTACCATGCGTCTTGCAATATTTTTTTCACTTATTATGTCTTCCAAAATATATGTTCCTGAAGGTATCTTGTGGGTTTTTGCGTGAGCTTTTTTGCCGCTTACCTACAATATTACTATTTGTTTATATTTCTCTGTCACATAATAGTTTATTTCGTTAATTACTTATAGATGGCTGCCTTTTAATCCTACCGCCTGTTCTTGCCTCCTTAATATGTTTGTCTTTTTATTTTTAGCTCTTCCTTGTTATTTTTTAAGATTGTCTGGAGATAATGTATGAACACATTAAAATAAATATCCAGGGTTGTGATCGCATAAATCTAAACTTTTACTATCAACATTCTCTGGTAAAAACTTTTTATCTCTAGTATTTTAAATAAATCAATACCAGGCTAGACATCCAATCGGCTTTTGTTTTCTTCTGATAAATCGTTTCTACATTTTGCCATGTAGCTACATGATTTTATAGCATCGATATTGTATATTTTGCATTTATATTGTCTTGAAAGCATTTTTTTGCGATTACGAGTATACGACTGCCAAGTTGTAATAGTTCAATTCGTCAGGAATTTGCATTTTATTTTAATTTATTTTATGAATATTTAACAATCTAGAACAACATACTTCTAACTTTCCTGAATCCATGTTTGTAATAATTAATAAAGTCAAATCATGGAGTATGGATGAGAGATGACATACACGTTTGTTATTCTAGACAGTAAATGGGATTACTGGGCGAAACTTATTGTAATAACAATATGGCGGATTTACCAGGGTTGTAATTTAAAATATTTGTAGTCCGATTGACTAATTTAATAGCATTTATATGTAGAAAAATAAATAGAATATATGGTATATACAATAATGTTATTCACAGCTGATACATTATTTTAATCAGTAATTTTATACCTCCTTGCATGTATCTTACATATTAAATGTTCTGTAAATAAACGATGCCGTTGCTTTTTTACGAACTTGCTTGTAATATCAAAGATTAAAAGAAAATACATTGTTTGCTAGTTATGAAATGTACTTATTTCTATTTAATCAAGTAACAATACTATTTAATTCTTGATAATGTAATGTATTTTATCGACTTTTCTACTTACAATATTAATTATTAATCAGTCTTATTAGATAATACGTGAAAAATGAATTATATCAATGCCTTCCACTCTCTTTCCACACAAACACAAGTAGAGAATGCGCTTCAACCGCTAATGTGGTTTCATCGTCATAATATATAATAAATGCAGTACGATTAGTACTTAGATGATCCTGCATATCATTGATATATACCAGAAGCACCAAAGGACCCAGAATTGATCTTCGGGGCACAAGCGATATAAAATATCACGTGAGAGAGTTCTCTTTTTATCAATTCTGATAATTATTTTAAGAAATTCAGAACATGATAATAATCATGAAAGAAAATTACTTCTAAATTTCAAGTTGGTTTATTTATTAATTGTTACTCTTATATTTATTGAATCAAAGGCATTCGAAACATTAAAGAAAAATCTGCGTATCCTTAAAATTAAATAACGAATAAATTTTGAAAGTATTTTATTTAAATTATTAATCTGTAATGTATAACGCACGGTTTTTGCTAATAAACATTTTATATCTATTTTTTTAGTTGGAATTTGGAGCAATTTTCCTTGTAAATGTTTCTGATTTTGCTAATAACGGTGAAATACTCTTCACATCACTTATGCCGGATATTATATTGCTCACTTTCAAAAGCAGCTACAGTTGTTGATTGATCACTGCTAAATGGATTAGATTCTATTAAACTTGATGGGGCAGAAATAAGAGCAGTAGCTTCCTAGATTGAAATAAAAAAACGGTATAAAATGTACAATAAAATAGATAAATTTTAATAAATTATTTATACTTATTTTAATTGGCGTCTTAGGAGTATGTGTATAATCATTTTATAAGTTTGTGTACCTTCAAAAGTTGTTGCAGCTTTGACTAAATCAAAGAAGTACTGAAAGAGTAGATTATATTTACAAAAGCATTTAAATATGCAAATTAAGTAATATTACAAATTATTATATACAACATACCTTGAAATGTTTGGTTGGCAAATTTTTGGTTTAAATATTTAACTCCATTTGACTTATAAGAAAATGATTATCACAAAATGTCATATCAAACCAGATTTGGGAATAATCAAAGAAGAAATAAAATAATTATTACCATATTCTTTCCTTTTAACATTTGAAGGAAATTAAAAAATTCTTTTTGGTTTTAGACAATGCAAGGTAGGTAGTTAAAAAGTAAACATTTATATAATATATAATATAATGGTATTTATTGTTCTCCTTTTGAATTATTTGAGTAGTTCCTCTAAAACTGACATTAATATAATAGTGGGAGATATAAATATGAACATTTTATCGAATAGTGAATGTATTGAGGAATATAAAAAAAATTTAATTTATCATGGTTTCATATCATACATTAATGAGTACACAATATTATCAAGTAAAACGTTTAGATCATTTTTGGGTCAAGAGTCGGTGGAGTACAGCGATACATTACCGATCACAGTCCCATAGTGTTGATATTTTAAAATGAAACCCTTAACATTAAAGAACGCATTATGGATACTTAAACATTTATAAATTATAAAAAACTTAAGTTAGGTATAGATAAAGTAAATTGGGAAGAGATATAACGAACTAAACGTAGATGATATGTGGAAGAGATTAATATCCAAAGTAAAATATTATATAAATTAAAATACAAAAACATAAATATATATCAATATATAAGAAAAATAGTTTTTAAAAACTATAAAAGAAAAACTTTATAAAAAACTTTGCGGTATCCAGAAAATGTTGAAATTAAAGAAAAGTATAGAAAATACAACAATAAATTAAATAACTTAATAAAGAAATCAAAACGAACATATTTTTGCCAACAAATTAATAACAATAAAAATACGTCAAAGGCTTTATGGGACTGTGTGAATAATATTAATTTGTAGAAAACGGAGACATAAAAAAAAATTGATAAAATAAAATTAAATGATGGAACAAAGATGACTGATAAGGATGACATTGCTAACCACTTTATTTCTACACTATATGTAAAGTGTTGGCCAATAGAATACCAGACTTACAAAATTATAAGGATAATTTAGACTTCATGGAAAACAGTATATATCTCAAACTGACCAGTTAGAAGTGTTATAAATTACAAAGAATCTTATAAACAGAAAATCGCCAGGTATTGTTTAAATAAGGGCAGAAACTATACAGCAAATTGCTTTAGAAATTGCTCGTCCTTTAACTTTCTTAATATATAAAAGTTTACATAAGTACAAAAGTACTCAAGTGTTCTATGATAAAACCTCTGTACAAAAGTAAACTTGGTAATTATGGACCAGTGTTTCTTTTCCAAATTTTTCAAAGATTCTGGAAAAATTAAAAAGAGGCTATGTAGCTTTCTAAATAATTTCAAAATTCTATGAAATAAACATACTGGATTTAGAGAAGATCTACTGATAATGCTATATATTAATTAACCTCAATCATATATGATGCATTAGATAAATAAACACCTATACTTTTCGACCTATAAAAAGCCTTTGACACTGTTTGTCATAAAAAATTGTTGAAAAAAATATGGAATTAGTGGAAAAGCATTCAGTATCTTTGAAAGTTAACTCTCAAATAGAGAACAGTTTGTGCAAATTGACAATGTTAATAGTAACAGGCAGACCGTAACCTTTGGTGTCCCACAAGGTACTGTTTTGGGTCATATTCTTTTTACTCTACTTAAATAGCCTACTACACTTAGATACATCCGCTACAACTATTAGTTTTGCTGATGATACTTCTGTTCTGTACTCTTCATCTTCATGAAAGGACCTAAAACATAAAGTAGAAAGTGATTTTCCCAAAATATCTAAATGACTACAGTTTAATATACTAGCATTAAATTATCAGTAACAGGCCATCCCACATTGGGTCCATTAAATGTAGGATTGAATAACGAAGTTTGTGAATTTACATTAATTAAATATTTAGCGATTATTGTGGAAAGGCATATCAAATGGAACTTCCATTTAAAACAACTCATAAAAAAATTAAGAGGGTTTTTACCAGATATCTGTTACTTTCTAAACATATACTGCTTGAGGTCTCTTTATTTTTCTTTAATACAATCCTTATTAGTATACGGCATCATTGGTTTGGGAGGTGTGCATAATACATTGAAAGATGTTCATGTAATACAAAAATGGATTTTAAGAATAAATTACAAAAAAAATATTTTACATCCTAGTAATGTACTTTAAGGTGATTCTAATACACAGGGTGTCTGTAAAAGGTCTTTACAAAAACATACCACATATTCCTTAGACCAAAATAAGTCGATTTAAGTAAAATTACCTTGGTACAAAGTTGCTTCGTTTGGGCTCCAGAGGGCCTTGAAGTTACAATTTTTAAATCGTTTTTCCCATATAAATTTAAAACGGCATATGCGATTTTGCTGAAATTTGGTATATTGGTAGAGTTTTATGTGACAAAAAAATGGTTTTAAAATTTTGTCCGATAATAATACATAGGCGTAGAACTTGATTTTTTAAATAATAATAATAAATAAAAAATTCTACGCCAATGAAAGAAAAGGAGTTTGAGTATGAAATTTAGA